AGTTATTCCTGAGATGCTTCTCTGTAAATAGGGGTGGAGCACTGGAGCACCTATATCTGCTTTTACACTGCCACTAGAAGAAAGTAACAGTCTCACTTTTGGACAACTTTTTCATGAAGCGATCTCGACCACTCGATCGTCAGGGGCAGTGGGATCCCGGGCACGTCTGAAGTTAGAGCACAGTACGCTAATACTCACGGAGCTCAATCTTGGACCCATTTTCTCCCCCTTCACACGCTGAAGGGGGTAGGGCTAAAAAGCACTTCGCTCCCGGCGCGCACTACAAAGTTCAGTGTCCACTTATCCGGAGGCTCCGGGCAGAATGACTCTCAGGGGTGTGCTTTGTAGTATAGATGCCTTCCTTATCCCAGTTTCCCCCGCCTTCTCTAAGAACGTTGAAAAAGGTGTCGATTGAAAGAATGCATATCTTCGTGAACAACTACTAACCTGCATGTGTAATTTGACCGTTTCACCATAAGAATTTCTAAATCACGCGATTGAAGCAGCAATGTCGCATGCTTTTTGAGGGTGAATACCATTTATCACGAAATCAGGTGATCAACACTCATCACTTCTTCAACGATCTTGCCAGATCACCCAGATCGCGAACTTTGAACTCCACCATTTGAGCTCATAAAAAACACTCGTCGTAAACGTCGACACTATGGATTCCATCAAAATCTTCACCTTTGGCTAAAGGAAAGATAGCCCCTCGAGAGTCCTTCCTTCCTTACCTCTCAGTAAGTGGCAAGGAAAGGTATTGATCATATCGCACAATTCCATTCGGTGCCCCGTTTTATGGCCTCACAAGGGAATGGTTTTAACTTCCCATGGAAGTTCGAATGCAGACCTAGGTATATTGATAGAGCCTCGGATGCTGATTACGAATATGCAGATTAAAGTGCTATGGGGACCTCCCAGACGAGAGCTGGGAGGTCAAAGTTTGCAAAAAGTCAGTTTTGGCTCGTAAGCGCTACTGATCGATTCTCGGCTGTGCCACCGTGGCCTTGTGGTTACGGTCTCACTTTCAAATAAAATGAACGCGGGTTTGCATCCGGTCTCATTGGCAACGGTCTTCAACACTAGTTCTCCTTTTACCATTACAATTTGATTTAACTTTCTATAATCCGCTGCGACAGTGTCTTTTACTCAATATTCCCTTAGTTTGTTTAGCCCACCTACAACATTCCATTTTTCTTCCTTTTACACGTACTTAGTACTCACACCTGTTATATCCTCCTTTCATTTTGCCTGTACAATTCCTTCTCATCTTTATTGCATGAATTTTGCATGTCATTTTTTACATTTTTTCTCGTTTTATCCTATTTCTTAACTCCTTCCCCTATGTAATTTACATGTCGTCAACCCTATCGCAATGAAGAGCCCTGGGTTGGCAAGACATGATTCGTCTCCGATAACGGGCGAAACGGATCATCCTTACTTTGTAATTGTATCTCCCTTTCCCCAATGTTTGTTTTACTTTGTTTCTAATTGGCGAGAAACTCGTTCATGGGACATTTCGACCCCTGAACACGAATATCACATCCTTCTACGAAAAAACGCCCGTCTGGCTAAATTGCGATTCTGGGCAAAACTTTGATTTGTTGGATGGGTCATATGTTCAGAGAAGGCAAATATGACCAAATCCGTACTAGATCGAGTATGTCGTATACTTGATGTACTTGATCTGCTTGCCCTGCTGGGCCGTAAAGTCGGAAGAGTTTTGAAAATTAGAGTAAAAGCTCTTATACGGACCGATGCAAAAATCTTTGCTCCAAGCGGATGCAAACACGTGCGTCTGACTTCAAAGCGAAACGTTCCCACTAGGCCACGGTGGCACTGCCGAACTATCGCTCAGCAGCGCTTGCGAGCCGAAACTGACATTTCGTGAACTTTGACCATCCAGATCTCGTCTGGGAGGTCCCCGTAGCACTTTTAATCTGCATACTCGTAATCAGCATTCGAGGCTCTATCGATGTACTTAGGTCTCCATTGGAAGTTCCATGGGAACTTCAAACCATTCCCTTGTCAGTATCTACCAACCGTGAAGTCCTTCAACTCCTCTTTCACCTCATACCATCCTTTCCTTCAAAGGTTCACTGAGCGACCCGCAAAATTGCTTCAGAACTGTCGCAGATACAGAAATAAATACTTTTGAAAAGTTCCGTGCAACTGGCGCACGTCATTGTGGAACCCTCAACAATTGGATCGTATTTAAAGGCAATCATGGTTGTTCTCCTTTGTGCAGGTACTTCAGCCCCCAAGCTAAGAGACTGTCCCACTTTCGCGACCCATACATCGGATGAGGAGGAAGCTTCATCTGCCGAAAATTGAAGTGGTAGCACCCCAGCTAAACCACCGTTCCAACGAATTCTCCCCACACCTGACACAGGGGCGCTCATCGTGATTTGTCGCTGTTTTTTTTGGGCGGCAGGCACAGACTGGAGCTGCATGTCCATTTTTGCCAACTGCGGAAATAGTACACATGAAACAGGAAAAACCATGAAAAGTCAATGATCTCCCCAATGTCTTCCCTCAGAAGGCCAGAAGATAAATACGATCCTCCCACCCCCCCCCGCCCCTTTTACATCGCCCCTGGAACAAGAAAAACCAGCAAGCAAGAAGCATTTTTCTCAACTCGAATACAACCTCCCTCTGTTGCGGAATCCCAACGCGATGTGCGCTGCTGTTAAAATCACCAGTGGTACAACTTTTGGTGCAAAAGATCGGAAATGAGCTCGGTGCCGAAAAGGCTGGAGACCAAACGGCATTAGCCGAGCGTCATAGGCACCGTTCAGACTTCGCCACGGCGGTGCTTTGGCCGCGCGTTTGGGCGATCGATTGCTTCGCTGGTGGTAGCGACCGGTTGTGTAGCGCGACTGGTTCGATCGCGCTCCAATGCAAAAACCAGCTAGGCGGATGCTAACTTACAGCCATTTTCGGTGACTTTTTGCTTCTTTCTGCTTTCTTGTCTTTCCCCCGCCCGCGATCGATCGCCCGAACGCGCGGCAAGCGCCGTCGTCGCGAAGCCTGAACGCTGCCATAGGCTCCACGCAGTGCTCTTGCCGGTAATTGGTTGTACGACGAATCCTGCTGGTGGGCCTTGTATGACGTCCGACAAACTCATCCAAGGCATCAGCTCCACCGCAGGAGGCCTCTGTTCAGGGCGTTGCCAAACCTTTTTTCCTCTTCTTTCTCCACTGATGAGTCTCCGATGGTCCACTGGTTCAGAAGTGAGCACCTGCTAACTGTTACACATTGTCGCGAGTATTGTCTTTGAGACTCATTTCTGTAGTTTCAAGCAGTAGGCTCGTCCTCGTGGGCTACACAGTTTCCACAGATCGAGCCATTGGGTTGGTTCTGACCAAAGCTGACCTGGAGAGGGAAAAGTGTCGAAATAATGCTCGTTTATTCTGTATCTCGATACAGGAACATTTATAGAATGTTCAATTAAATTTTACAATCAACTGACTGAATGACTTAAGAAGAAACATAACGTCTGGTAGGCGGATAAAGTGTTGATTAAATATACATCTACAATGAAACAGACGGATAAATAGAAATCAACGTGTACCATTACGTTCCGCAAAATAAAAAGGTGTCAAAAATCAGGTGTCTTGTCTGGATGACGTGAAGAGAGAGCTGACATGATTATATGGGGAGGGGATCAAATGAGGGAACGACTTGGAGCAGTAGAGGACTGACTACTCAGGGGATTACGGGGATGTGGGGTTGGGAGGGGGGGGGGGCATAATGATGTGACAACAGTAAAGCTAGGTGTTCGGGTCTGTTTGGCGAACTTTTATTGGGGGAACAAACGCCTCATAAAATCACAAACGAGACAGACACAACAAATAAGCATTACATATACATATACGGTGACCAGAAACATTACAGTATATTAAAGTGGAACATCAATCATTCGAGTCTACGTAATTAATGTCTGGAACTCTCACTCGAATAGAATTCTAGAATATTAGGGATGAAATGAGCTTGCGCAGCACTACAGAACACAAATGTGTAAAGAAAAACCTTTGTGAAAATAAAAATCAAAAAACAAAAGAAGGCGCAACTAATTAAACTACTTACTCTAACCCAAACAGTATTCGATGAACCTTCCCAGGTTAGCGGATGGAGATGGTCCATTCAGTTACATGGCTAGAAATCGTGCAAGTCTGGCATTAAGGACTAGAAGAGGATGGGGAGCTAAACATCAGCCACATTATCGAGTGACCGATGACTAAATTTAGGTCATCAGCTTAACATAGGAGTTGTAGTTAGACACATCACGTTTGAGGATCTCACGAACGGGACCCATGACACGCTCGAAACGGGCACGATCGAGCTTGATGCACTTCAGCGGGGTCTTGGCAACCACTGTGGCAGCACGAGGGCGATCCAGAAGCAGGGCAATCTCACCTAAATTGAAACACTTAAGTGCTAGCAATATCCATACTCGTGAATGCGCAATAATATGAAATGGAAAAGCTATAGGCTTGTTTGCTGCGGATGATGGGGTATGTCGCTGCCTTTGGCGCCGCACCAACCCGTTCTTTTATATTCTTTCGCCAAGCGATAAGACTGAATCGTATCGTTAATGAGCAGTAGTGAAATGGAAAAGCTATAAGCTTGTTCGCTGCGGATGATGGGGCGTGTCGCTGCACTTGCGCCTAACCCGTTCTTTTTTTCTTTTCTGTTCCTTCGCCAAGCGATAAGACTGAGTCATATTGATCGCATCAGTCGTTTTTTACCAGTATTTGTCGCTTAGACATTGTTCACACTCTGCGACCCAGTGTTTCTCTAGAGAAACGCTTTGGCGAAAAGCTTACAATACGTATCGATGGGCGGTTCGGCGGGGCGGTTGGGCGAAAAACGCTCGCCCGACCGCCCTGGGATTTTTCCCTAGCGCGAAGCCAGCGAAATCGATACGCATCTATGGCTTTTCGCCGGACCGCCCAACCGCAGCGGCGTTTCTCTAGAGCGGTTGGCGATCCCCCGATCAATACGTATTGACTGCTTTTCGGCGAACCGCTGTTTCGTCCGGGTTGCAGACTGTGAACAATGCCTTCCCTTCTTCAGCAACTAGTGCAGGAAAAGCTGACAGCTCGTTGAACACCGTCGACACGCCCCATCATCTGCTACGGACAAGACTGCAATTATCTTACCGAAATAATCTGAGGATGAAAGGTGGCCAACGACATCAAATGGTGCATCATCACTTCGTTTTTGTAGGACATTAGCTTCACCTTCCAAGATGATAAAGAATTCGTCACCAGGTTGACCCTAAAAATACGAACGATCCAGCAGGGGTTACCCTAAAACGAAATTCTGTACGGCTATCTCGTACCTGCTCAACAACGTGAGTTCCTGGCTCAAAGTCACACCGCTCGAGGGCATCAGCAACATTGGCACGTTCCCATTTGTCAAGATCGGCTGAAACGTCAATGAGCGTTCTATTTAGAGTACTGGCCACAGTAAAATAATGAGAAGAACAGGCAGTAAGGGAGAACCGGGAAGTACGCGACTGTGCGTCCATTTCCCCTCCCTCTAGAGCACGTCGCACACTGGCGATCCCTGAATCGAGGCGGGGGGGGGGGTAGGTAAAAAACCAAGCATGGGCCGGACAATATTTTGTTCCTTATTGAGTGTCCATTTCGCAGGCCCTGCATAGAGGGGTCCTAGCTGAGAAGAAAATTTAAACGAGTGGTGTTGCATTTCGCAAAAATTCCCCTCAACGCCAGGACGGTCTCTATTCTGTTCCCCAAGGCTGAACCCTATCACAGTGCAGGCGACGAGAGTCGACACGTAAGACATACATGGTCGCGCCGTGAATTAGATCAACGTCAGTAAATTTCATTGAAAAGGATCGAACTCACCAAGGATTTGGACCTTTGACAGGAATTCATCGTACATCTTACGTTTTCGCATCACCGAGCCCATCAAAATACGACGGTATGATAAGCGATCAATGGCCCACAACTTGACGTCAGTCTGTTGAAAAACATTTTGAGGCATATTTTTTGAACACAAAATTAATCCAGAGAGAATCTGGCATACAAGCTTTCCCATTCAAATTTCAATTACCCTTTCCTAAATTTTCAGATACATAGAGCCTACCACTCTGTGGACGAAGAGGCGTGCCAGACGGGATGACTTTGGGACCGTACCAAACCCGTTCTCTGCGAGCTATTGAAGCTAGCAAGTAACAAAATCATAACGTAGGTATCAGTTGTTTTCCACCAACTGCTGTCGTATAGGTTTCAAGCTGTTATTTTTTGATGTATAGTCGCTTCATTAACTGGCATAAAACGGGCTTGGCGCCCCACAGTCCGACACGCCCCTTCCTCTACAGTGAACTAGGGTATATAAAAATTACTGCGAAAATCACCTTTGCAACTACAGTAGCCGCTCTAGGTGTTCCATAAATAAGTGCCAACTCTCCAAACGATCCACCTTCGTTGATGGTTAAGACAAACTCATTATTGACGAAGACATCGACAACCTGCAATAGGATCTTTCAAGCAATTAGTTCAGCAACAAAGAACACAAAACTCGTGGTCAACTTCTTATGTTCATTACGTCATTTCTGCGCAAATGTTGTGTAATAAATCTAGCAAGCACAAGATTTCCTCTCATTATGAGACGAGTAAACGATCATGCATATGCCATGTGTGCAATTACAGTTTTTACAGTTGAATTGTTGCAATTATTCTCCTTTTGTACGGCTTTCGTAGAATAATAATAATAACACAAACTTGTAAACGAAGACGTTATCAAAGGCGCAATAAAGAAGAAATGAAACTTACCCCTTTGTCGATAACGTAGAAATTATCTCCCTCTTCTCCTTGTTCGATTATCGTTTCTCCAGCTTTCTTTTCTACAGGGAACATCGCATCAAACATCGTTTTGGCCTCATCCTCCTTTAAAAATATGTGTTTGTAAACTGACGACTCAGTTTCCATTAACTCGTAATGAAAAAAATATTCAAAAATCCCCAAATGAACATCACTGTCTTACCTCAAGGTGAGCGAAAAGCAAATTCTTGCTCATTGCTGCTTCGAGGGATTTTCGCGTCGCTTCATCTTTAGGAATAACAACCTGCAATATGGATTTTTTTATGAAGAGCAGCAGCAATTTTGACGATAACAGGTCCGAATAATTAGTTGATATTGCTTTTGCAGCAATGGTTTTTGTGTAAATGATGGCAATCACAGAGCATTCAATTTTGCAATTAATTCGAGATAATTGGAAGATTACTTTCTAAAATATATGGTTTGGCAAAAGTACTCTATGATCATAAACCATTCCTGAGAGCAAGTCCAACATAGCAGCAAAAATTCTCAATCACTAAGCGTCATTCCCTCTAAAGACAATCATTGCGATCTAGTGTTACGGGTAGTACGTGCTTAACCATGAACCAGTAGGGAAAGAAACGAAAGTAAACCCTGGGACCCTGAACAGAGACCCCCTCTTCGCAGTGGGACCGGGCTTTAAGTTCGTCGGACCGGGCAAGCTCAATCTGCAGGATTCAACGTGCAACCTATTCCGGCAAAAGCATAGTAAATCGCTCTGCGACGCTCCAGGCAACGCTACGTAGACAAGCAATTCCGCTTGTAAGCCGTTGCCTTGCAGAATAAAAGTAATCGTGATTGCAATGGTTGCAATACCCACGCGTCTCTTGTTTATCTCGCCGTTTCGAGTGACAAAAGCGGTGGATTCCCTGCGAATGCGGACAACGATGCCAAACGCAGAGTCATTTCGCGGATTACCTGATGGTGGGAACTGTCTTTAAGACAACGCGAAGCACCATCGTGAGCACGATCGATAGTCGTGCTTCCACTAAACAGAGCAGACAACAGCAAGAATGTGTGCCCAAAACGCCCTTGGTGAGGACAGTGCTGAAGGGATATAGGGTGACCACAATCTGACACACCATCTGAAGTGATTGTTGATAAACTAACTATACGGTACATGCGACCTAGCGCTAGCGTTTTACCCTGGCACCAATAAAATAATCACTACCATAACTACCAGTTCAGTTTCTTGAAGAACAGGAGGAGGAACGTTAACCTATTACGAATGATACTATAATATTTTTATTATTGACTATGAAAGCCTGGAGCGACCTGACCTACGATAGCCAGGTAGAAGAACGAATGCCTAGACCACATCATGAAAAAATTAGAGCCGCGAAAAAACTAGAGCAGTTTAGTAAGCTGAATAGTGTTATCCCCGAGTTCGCACCTTACTAGGCTATTAGAAAAGGGGATACAAAACACTCCAAGAACATTATCGCAAGAGTGCTGAGTATGGGCAAAAGTTAGACCCCAGGTGAGACTCGAACCCGCATCTCCCGCAGAGCGGGCGAGGCGTTACCCATTACGACGAGTCTATGGGTCTTACTTTTGTCCATAATTCAGCATTCTTGTGATATTTTTCATAGGGCAGCGCTGAGCAGCAGCCATTATGCTAAATAAAAACTCCAAGAACAGTTTCACATTCCATCAGGTCCCCCTTTGGCCAACAGTTCCCTGTCCAGTTCTCAACATAAATGCAGACTCATTCTTCCACGCGCTAAACTTAAACTTAAATCCACTGTTTTGAAGAAGACAGAAAGTCCTGGCTCCAAACATAGTAGTGCTTTTGCCGCGGAGAAAGCAGTAAATACAGGAAACTACCCTGCCATTCAGCTTTTTTAGGGACTCCTATAAATACATTTTATAAACATCGTGAAATTAGGTATTAAGTCCGTAACCCTTATCGCACTGCTCTTTATTTCACGAATAAGTACTACTGTGGAGGTCTGAACGGCAACTGAGAAATAGCTTCAGTTCTTTTCCAATTATCTAGATAAAGTAATTCTTTTCTCAAAGCGGAGCTCCTAGACATCTGCAACAGCGGAAGCAGTGCTGCAAAATAGCCAACCCGAAAACTGTTGTATATTGTACGTAATAAAAAGGGCACTAGTTAATAAAAAACTAATATGATGAAATGGTACCTTTTTGTATTCCGTGTCATCCTCTTTGATTGGCTCTGCAGATATACCCGTACGGCGTCCACCGGTTCTTTTCGGTGGTTCAATCATTATATCATCGTCATCTTGAGCTTCCTGATTCCGGCCAGCTTCCTAAAACATGAAGATTTGACAAATAGTAGTAGCAAGTAAAGGATCATTTTCTATCTGCAACCTTGTTTGTAAGTGATTACACAAGAAACTCTTTAAATACAAGTTTCTTCGCTGCGGACGCTGGGCGCTCCGGAGGGATAGGGTTTGGCGCGGCGCCAGCCTATTATCCGCCAATTATGGTCGTTTGCTAGTTTCTACAATTGGTGAATAAGGCTGGAGCTGCGACAAATCCAGCCCCCTGAAATGCTCCGTCAGCAGCGAGCAACACTGTAACTCAAGTTTTTTTCTGAATCCCTCGATGGATGACGTGCAGTGAGGCAAACAAATTCCCAGAACGATGATTCAAGCAACGCCTCATTTTTCATATGAATTTTATTCAGTTCACATCAAACTCCCCCATGGTCCGTCACCAGCAACAACTTGGCTGACGTAACACACATGACACATACCATGCAGAAGAACGAACTAAGAAAAACAAAAACAATACAGAGGACGAAACAGTACTGTAGAAGTGCTTGTCACCAGAAAACTCGATAATTCATACTGGACTCCATTTCCATGCTTACTCACCCCAATGTTGCAATGAGTAATGCACTGCCATGAAAAAACAAACATGGCTGGCACGGTCCCACTCAAAGAACTACGCCCAGACAACCGTCCAAGTCACGAGAATCACATGTAAATATTTCATATTCACTATCACTGCTCGCATTACTTGTTAGTTAGTCCTCTGGTCGCGGGCTATACTGATTTCGGCTAATTGTCAGTGAAATAGGCCTCGATCTCGCAACGGCGTCTTTGGAATACGGTAGTTGGACGGGATCTAACTCGCTTTTCACTCGCTTTGGCCTACTAGAAAGAATTAGTATGGCAGGGTATCCGTGATAAAGTGGAAATGCTTGCAAGACAATAGGAAAGGTCCTGCAAAGACAAGGAGCATTTCCTATGAAAAATCATTCGACTATTAATAATTGAAAGCTTAGAATAACAACGTTTTATAGTGGCTCACAATCAGAAATTCGTTGCGCTGCTGTAAAATGGATATAAATTAGAAAAACAGGCCCTTTGTTTCACGAGAAGCATGAAGGGGAATCACACCCATGAAACTAACAAAATCCCAGGAGGAAGATCTTCCGCAGGCTCATTCACCCAAAAATCGATTGCGCTATGATCTACTCCTAAAATGAGCCCGCCTCTACAGTAACCCGACGAGCACCACGAGACCCAACGAAGATGTATCAATTCAGGTACGATTAATTAGTAAATCAAAACAAACCACCACTCCATTTATCACATATTACTTGCAAAAAGCATATTGTTCGCCTCAAAGCGGCTTTGTGGCGTAACCCAAACGGTCAAGCATCCCCGAGCACTTCGTTTTTATGAATAATCCGTTAAACAAATTAATTTGGACTATAACAAGGATAACACAAGTCCTGACGGAGCAGCAGTCTAGCAATCTAGCAGTTGTGCTATATAGTGGGCAAATGACGAAAGTGGGTAGTGAAACGGTCAAAACTTGCAAAAAAGCCTCTGTTCTACACGACTCAAAAAGCAATTTTGGACGAGTTTCCCACTGGCATCGTGCCAATAACAGTTACAGCAGGTACAGCTGCATGTATGTACTTATATAGCCATGCAGCACCGCAGCCGCTTCATATCAGTCTCTTCGCTAGGTAATGCACAAATGAGCGATGCGAGACAACATCGTTCGGACCCTTGCCGGCGGGCGAGCGCGGTTGGTATTCGGGTCGGTATACTGCTGTTTTATAGAGTCTTATAAGGGTACCTTCCAATGGAAATGCGCTACACAGCGTCTACTCGGGCGTCGAATTTCGCCCTGCTAGGCATAAAATCCCACAGTCTTGGGGATTGAGCGTGCCACCCGCCTTTGAGCAAACAGGCGGGATACAGTGCCCACCACAACTGCGCGTAAAATTAAGTATTTCGGCTCGTGAGCTCACACATGAACATACCGTAACCCGGTTTGGTTCCCCAAGTTGGAAATGCTTTTATTATCACCCAGTGTGTTCGTCAATGAGCTCAGATCAGCACTCAAAGATTATTTTACGGTCCAAGAACGTAAGCACATTTCGCTTTTGCTGATAAGAAGATCCTTTGTTCGTCACGAAAAAAAAGCCACGCCACGTGGACAAACAGATTGTTCCAAAAGATAAAAGTCTTGCACGAATTCATAGAATCTGATCTTTATGCTTTTTCAATGAACTTGGAAAGAGAAAGGGGAACAGCAGATTACCTACATTGGTTTTGTGGCTATAGTAATTACATTTGCCTTTCAAACGGACTCACGCAAAAGATTCACTGCATTAAAATAATGTTACTGATGTAAAACCAGCACTTAACCCTAAAAGGCTGATCCCATTAACCCTCCCAACTCCTTTTGTTCACGGAGAGAAGCGGTAAATGGACAGGCCACTTTTATTTTTCAACGGCTCCAAAACGATCGGCTATAAAATTTCAGGGATTTCCCTCTACGGAAGAGCTACGCAGCCTGTTGTTCACGGGTCTTGATGTCGAATTCCGAATCGATAATCGTGCACAACAGTGAGAGACGAAGAAGCACACTCTTCATCTTATTCCCAACTCATAATAGACCGAATCTGGCCATTATTCATAGTAAGCACATTTGTCGGAAACTGAAGGCACCCGTACGACAAGGGTTGTTTTCGACTACCAACTATTCTACGCACCACAGCTGCCTACAACAGAATTCGGGAGGAAGTGATTAGCTCCAGCTTCTTTGTGAGTAAATCCACTCGCTTCTTCAAGTAGTCTTAATGCTCACACAAGGAAAAATCTGAAATAGAAAGCCTTGTGGGTTTTTGAAGCCAAAAAATTCACCATGCAAAGTTATTTTGTGAGGTTGTTTTGTTCTTCTTTTTCTCGCTGAAACCAATTATCATGGTCCCCAAGCTGACTGGAAAGGGGGATCGTTTTGAGTATACTTTCAGAAATGTGAAATCCCCAAAACTTGCTAAAACTACGAGTAGATCTGTCACTATTCTACTTTGATTGCCTGCGTTCAACTCAGTTATAGGCATCATGTGACAACTGCACTTTCAGTGATGGGTTTTGAAACACTTTCGCCAGGAACAACTGCGCAGCTGGATGGCACCGCTCTCAGTAAAATCCCATAAAACTGCTGTAAAATCCCAGTCCTTTCACTTATCAAAAGGCTTATCTGCATATGAAGCTGCAAGAAGTTTACCACGAAATCAACTTTTACTGATTGCCAGCAACAAGGGTGACTTTTTAGATTAATAAGAGCTCCTCCTTCCCTTACAAAGACTTTACAGTGGTGTAGCTCTTGCAAGGGGAAATTTTAGTCACAGAAAGCAATAAAAATAAAAAAAGACGGCTTACTCATGCATGTTTCACAACAATCTCACGACTACAGATGCGATTGCCCTACGTGCAAGGGTGTTACTGTAACTCAGGAACACCGAGCTGGCGCTAGTGCGTGGCTCGACAACTCTACGAGCTTTTCTTCGATACACTCCTCTTTAGACTATCATCATACGATTTTTTTAGGCTTAGGTGTTAGCGCGAGTGCCCATTCAGAGACTGACTGATCCGAATCAGCCCTCTTTCTTCTGGGTGGTCTTGAGAACCTCACTGCAAAGGGCCCTTCGCACCCCTGCGTAATGACCTAAAACTGCGCTGATCTCGAATTTCAGGAGGGTACTAGAATACGCTTGGATGGGGTGTAATATACTGCTCCCAACACTCTAGGCCCTGAAGAAGCAAAAAGTCCTGTATCTACAATCGTACTGCCTGAGGTTCTTTAGAGCCGTACATCGGGAGTTCTATGACGAGTTAGAACTTCTGAGGCTGCTAAACAAAATTCTTCAGCATAGGGGCATGAATGCTCCTTCAGAGCCTGAAGAGTCCAAATAGGTTGTCTTGGCTTCTGGGTGGTCTCGAGGATCTCACTGGGATACGGTACGGCCCATCAAACTGCTGCCTAATGGACTATTCCTTCTCGAACTTCGTACCAGAGACGCTTGACCGGGTTTCAATAAGGGCGAGAAGTTCATCGAAAAAGAACTGAACCAGGACTAAACTGCGGTTTGTTCAGAGCCGTACATGACAAGTTCTGTGAGCATCCTGGGGAACAATACTAGCTTGGACCGCCTCTAAAAAAACCACAGAGCCACCCTTAATTGTCAATGCTTAGAAGATGACGTTTTCCTAACGACTGGTACCATCCAAAGGGCAGCTATGGGAACACTAATTGCATTTGCATAAGTTAAAAGCTTCAATTCAGAAAAGCTAGTCTATTGGTATCGACGGATATGCCAGTAATCTTGCTTGAGACTTTCTGAGTATGGTCGAAAACCCATAAAGATATGTCGGTGCCTGAGTTAAGTGTATTAACATCATCTTAAGAAGGTTGCTAATTCAATTTTACCATTAGCCATCCACAAGGGTTAATCAAGGCACTAGCGCGAGGAGGTTGGGGAGAGAGGAAGAAGGTGGTGGTGTTATCAAATTATATTGGTTTTTTCTTTGTTTCGATGATTGTAGGTTTTCTTCGAGCTGTCGGTGGGGGCAATCATGCAGTGTGATTCGTAAGCAGTTGTTTATGCTGCAGCCGAGAAATAGAGAGGGCTGCTTGGATATAATGAAGCTGCATTTACACGAACAACCACTCCACACGTACCGCCCGACCCAAACGACCAACCGCAGTCAACTCTTCGACTAATGTGCCAGCAAGTAGCGCCGAGCGCCAAATCGCTAGAGGGAGAACGCAAGCCAAAGAAATTGCGGTTGTACGAGAGAGTAGCGCCAATGTACACGCAGACGTGCTAGCAGTTGCAGCAGCAGCAGTAATAGAGCAGTAGCTGAAGCACGAAACACAAAGGAATAGAAAGTTGCGCAAGAAGAAAAAAAAATTAAAGAATCAATCCCCTCTTTGTCTCTCTTCACTCTTATTGGCCGAAATGTCATGTGTATTGGGTAGAGCCAGGGTTTTCTTGCAGTGCAATCAATTTCCAAGACAAGGGCAAACTCAAATGAAACAAACATTGTTGAACAAGTAGAGAAAATGTTAAAATTTCACCCGAAGGGGCAATTTTTCGTGTGCTCATATGTTGAGATTCTAACATTCTTACATGATCTATCACCACATATAGGCCAATATTTCAGCGCTCAGCAAAAATATCAGCCAAGTTCGCCTTTGGTTCGCCCATTGTCCGTCCCATCCATATCGCGGCAATTTTATCAGTAAACGCGCTATACGACCGTTATGACACTACAATACATGATGTTTGATATTTAGTAAGACTGAGGATATAAAAGCGCTATTAGCCAGAAGAGGCAGATGTTGCCCTTTAATGGAAAGGACGCGCCATGCACAGGTTCCTTATTCCATATCAGAAAGGATATTGAATGGGTTCTGATCAGGTATCATTAGATAAACAGGGGGAAGAATAGTGTAAAGCGGTTCTACGTCATTGCACGTGCAATGATGAAATGCCAAAGACAAATTAGAAGTAAGTAATTGTAAATAATTGCGGCAGCGCACGTCTTAGCCTACTCATTCATTCACTCACCGGCGAAGCTGGAGCAGGCGGCTGCAGCGTGGTGGGAGAAGTGGACGAAGTGTGCTGAGTATTCTGTTGTTGTGGACGACGTCGACGCGCACTCAGATGCTGTCCCATCGCATCACACAACGACTCACACAAGAACCGAGGGGGGCAGTTCGGGCACTACGCCGTCAACTAAATGATTCGGCGGGTCCGCCGGCGCTGATCGCCGGCGGCTAGGATGCCCCGCGTGTAGCCTAGCCCTGCCCGTGTATCGATTGTGATGCCGGGCGACTAACTGCAATTCCGTCTGTTTTCGCACCGCCGCTCTCCGCGTCATACGCTCACTATCTCGTTTTTATCTGACGACAGCACACTCACACACACCACCACCAAGACAAGACTACCATCACCCGAGAACACCCCTCCACGACATTCTCTAGCTGGGTGGCATATCGCCCACCAATGACTTGCACTTCACCTCCTGCCGCTCCTCTACGGGCAGCTTTGCCTGGCTTGCGGAGGATTTTTGGAGAACAGGACAGACAGAAAAAATGACTTGTCAATAGACGACAGACCACCCAGAGGAACAGAGAATAAAAGGATTTGTCTCAGTAGAGGACAGACCACCCGTTCTTTAAACTGATTAAGAAATATTAAATTACTGTCTCTATTCATTGCACGTACAACTTCAGAATACGCTCCCATTTCTACAGCCAGGTGACAACAGACCACCCATCACGTCGGGACCTTACAACTATTCTGAGTAAACGTCTAGGGATTCTTATAGTCCACAGCAAGAAAAATCATGCCACTTACATACTATCTAGGGGTTTCTTTGACCCAGAGTAAGAAACATCGAGCCACTTGCAAACTTAACTGACGCAGAACTTTTCCGCGAAAATTCAGAAGACGCTTATATGTAAAATGAAAATTTCGGCTGCGGCTAATCTCATTGAGGACAAGACCTCTCAAGATGTCAAGGTTTACGGACAGTCGATCATGGAGAAATTTTAGAAATGTAGCACGCATGCAGGAATACAGTACCACGGAGTTCCATGCGTACACGCCATTCTGCAGAAAAACGTAGACAACACAAAGACCAAAGGAAAGTATTGACGACAATTAGTTAAGTGAATAGTGACATGAATGATATGACCTGTTATTGAAGGACGAAACAACAGGCCTTTCAGCCTTAATGAGAATGAAAGGGAGAAAACGATGAAATACGTGATGAAATGATGACGCACATGACAAAGGAAAAACATCTTCAGTAAGCTCTTAACGAGATTTGAATATAAAATAATTAGAGAGAAAAATTTGTGTACCTCTGTCCTTTGTTCGTTGAGTTTATCGAAGTGCTCCTTTAGAAACAAAACGGGATTTTCGGGCTTGTGAATGCACAGAGCAACTAAAAATCCACGCTTACACTACGGACTATAAAAATCGTCTGCAAATTTCAAAAAAAAGATGAAATCAATCAAGCATGAAAAATGGCTTCAAACAACCAAATCCTGGAGCAAACCAGCTGGGTAAGGAAGGGGGGGAGGGGGGTCTGAAGTACTCCTTATGCAGAACTAAAAATACCGTAATGGGAAATCCTCCTTTTGCCCAAAGAAACTCGGCCGACCCACCTCAGAGCTCAATCCCTCAAAGCTTCCGTTTCTAATAAGGCCATCAATGACCACTACAAGGAGCCATTTGAGTGCCTCCCGACCTCCTCAACACGATTTTCCAGTAGATACCAGATAAGCAGTAATAAGAACCTACCAATAGCCTCTTTCACAAGTTGCTGAATATTGTGTCGCTGTACATAGGCTTGGCATTGTGCCAATTGTGCTTCCTCGTTGCCGCTCGACATATCCGAGCAAGCTAAAGGGGCAATTAACGAAAAAACGAAAAACACTTCTAAAACCGAAATGAAGTTATCGATCGATTCGGAAAACAAGGGAAATAAGTACGAAGGAAAGTTTAGTACAATGGATTCGAATGAAACATTCAAGAAGTGAGAAAACGCAATGAATCACAAGAACATCGCCGCCATTATTGCGACTTTACATGTAACGTTCTGGACGAGATACAATCAGAGCTGATGGATGATGAGATTTCAGCTGAATTGGACAATTCACTAATATGAATCGATGTTGCGCATGTTTAGCGTGAGGAATTCAGTGGTGAGATTCTGCAGGAATGAAGGCACAACGTTGACGGATGGATGACGTGAGAGGGAGTGCTGGAATAGTGGAGGGTGAGCACACTGACGGGAGCGGACAAGGGCTAGCAGAGTTCCGGCAAGCCGGAGGGCAGATTTCATCGCAACGGCGGCAAGTGAGTGGCAGTGGGAAGCGGGACGCGGCAATCGCGATCACGACAAGTATTGTTCGCGCGGCAACTGGGGGCGACGAGGAGCGGCGAGTAGCAGCATGAGCAGCAGCAGTCAGCAGCGAGAATGCGAGACTCGGAGGGTGCCAGAGACTATGAGGTATCGTGAGGGCCCAAAACGCAGCACTAGCACAGCTCTCCCCTCTCTCCCTCACACTCGAGAGCACCATCTTATTGGATTTGACTCGTTCAAAGGCAGAAACTGTGTGTGCAGACTACTGCACCACATTACTACCACCCCCATAATAACTCGAATTCATACGCAATCACAGACAACTTTTTCAATAAACGCCACAATGCGTCACACCTTAGTGGTGGGATGACGTCAGGTCTCGCACCTCACCGTCATCGGGTTTGTCCCGACCGCGGGGGAAAACGAGCGCTCGAGCGCGGCGCGTTGCGCGATAGAAGGGTGCGCGAATGAATGAAACACTTTCTTAACTACTGCAAAACGGAACAGGGCTAAGCTGTTGCTCAACTGGTGGGAACAATGAACGCAAAATGTTCGCGCTTTGATTTCAAGAACGTTTTAGACGTTAAGGAACTGCTGGGCGTTGCTGCTGTTACAACAGTCGCACGTACAGCGCGATGAACATGACCGCCACATGCTTACCAGCAGTCAGACAAACAGCTCCACACATTTGAAACAACCACTTCTCTGTGGTTTCCATTGAAATCGATCGATCAGCATTGTAACACAAATACAAGTAATTGACCCAGTGTAAACGCTATAGTGTAGGTAAAACCGGTTCGATTTGCACGGTTATGGGCACCACAAATCAGGAGCATTTACACAAGAAATGAAAAAGAATAGAGAAAACCAACAAGTAACAGGATCGCGAAATCGAGCACTGATAGAAATTTTCAATGGGAAACGTATTGATTGATTCTGGGTGATCTACCTATGGCATGGCAAGCCGACCACCCACAACGTCGATCCACCATGTCCATGGGAGGAGTGATGGACAATGAATCAATTGGCAAATTAAAAAAGTAATAAGGGGTAGCTTATGAGTAACCAAATGTAGCAAACAACATGAGCATGACAAAATGAAGTGATGAAGTTGAAAGGAGAATTTTGACGGGCGTGAAAACGAGGGTGAGTGAGCGGCGAGGAAAATGATATGGAAATGAGGTGCGGAGTGTCGGGACGGGGCACAAACGAAAGCACGCGAACACCATCACAGCGCCCCCCAATATCCATGGCAAATCATGAAACCGATTAGTTGAAATGCACACATTCATTCCACATACAAACACACCCTCATACAATCTGGGCAGTAATCGAACAGAAAAACGAGACGAAGAAACGATTAGCGCGCAGACGAGTACGGCAATTGGCAATGGGCGATGATGACGACCATCCCAGCCCCAGCTGCGGCCAGACGGCTGGCGCTAACTGGGTGGTCGAACGATGGTGGCGCCTCAATGCACCAGCTGGGAGCAAAAATATTAAAATCTAAACTATGCACCACGACCACCAACAATGAAAATGAATAGTTTAAAACTTTAAAATCAATGATCTTCATCTCAAATCTGTGTCTATGCGTATGAATGTGTGTGTGTATATGACGCTCTGCTATTGACCGTCCGAACACCCCGGTCGCCGCTCGAGCAGCGCCGCTCCACCGCCCACCTGCGAATCTAGGCCAATGGCGCGCTTTTTAAACACATATTACTGTTACTTGGCAACAGGTGACTTGAGAAACACAACTTCACGGACTCTCGCTTGTTTTCCACAATGTGCGGGTGCTCTTCTTGGCATGAGTAGTGCAAAACTAACGGTCAGTCATATTCATATCACTACGATTTCACTACATTATTGATCGCTCCCCATGTGATCTACCCAGTTTCTATCAAGTTTCTGAAAATGGTCTCGATTTATGTAAGAGACTTTCTTTCGGGCTTATGATTATAGTCTCAATGAGCAGAGACGACTCCCACACTGTTTCCCTCTTTTCGGTTTCTATTTTTTTTCACGTTTATAAATAGATTTTTCTCATTCACATATTTCCTAAATATGTCGGAGCAAGTCTGCTAAAGGATCGGGGGGGGGGGGAGAGGGTGGATGGGCTAGCCTTATAAAGGGGTATTTGTGCAAAACTCTGAATACCCTAACGAACCCCCCTTGGCTTCGCAGGGGTTCCTCTAAATGTTCACCATCCTCCCCTTCCCCTCCGTCTCGGGACACTTGTCAGCCGTAAAGTCTCCCTCCTCCTTCCTTTTTTTCCGCAGTTTCCTTCTTTTCCTCCTTCCCTCTCTCTCCCTTCTTCCTTTTGCTCCCTTCAAATGCTCCACCAACAGATGCAATGGAAAAATACCTCTGAACCCTCGCAGCGAGAGGACGTTTCGTTCACAGGAGTCCTGCCCCCTCCCCTAACTAGCAGAGCAGCAGATCTGCTTGTCCTGTTGGGATGGTAGTAAGAGATATATGCAGATGCCCATGCGATTTTGTAGTTACTGTATTTTTTCTGAAATGGTAAGTAAATATCGATAATGGCTGTATGGCTATATCCTTCCCTCTCATTATTGAGTGACAGCCGACCGGACTTGGCAACGCATCAATTGAGTTACTATTGCAATCTCTTCAACAATATACCGTAATCTTATGAAAAGTTGTTTATGACAATGCTGATCAACTGCGATTTCTTGTTACTAGACGGTTACTAGTAACTAGTGATAGAACACCTTGACTAATACCCTTTAGCGGAATCAAAGACCAACTCCGCTCCGTTGCTAGCCGTTGGTTGTGGAATTCAATAATGAAATTGTAGGTAGTCAGTGACTTGACAACGAAGGAAAAAAGCGAGAGGAAAGGAAACTACGTTGCTTTCACTGGACGAGTTTTCCGGATCGCCGACTTTATGATGTTGAGACGAATTTCCCTCAACAACCCCCCCCCCCACTCTTCGGGTGACCGAAAATTGTGACGATCGCCGTGTGTGCCTTCTCATCCACAATCGTTTCTCTCCATCCTCCAGCACTAAACGTCAAGCAAAAAGGCATTCGAGCAGAACAGAATGCCCTACATTCCGCACTGGAGAGTGAGCTAAGTCGACCAAAAACCACAGGTTATTCCCATGAAATGAATAGCGCATGTACTTAAAGGCATGAGCTAGCGTACCCGTCCCCGATGGGCGAGGCACCTTGAATTTACCGTATATATCTTCACTTTTTGACTACCGCAGCGCCCTCTTGCTCGCTGTGAAGCTGCAAAAGTGGGCAGTCTCAGAGATCGCGGTCGCGATGAAAATGAACGGATTCTACGGTAGTCCTATGTGAGGTCTGCCTTTGACAATTAGTCTAAATGATAAATCGAGGTGAAAATTATTAAAAATAGGGAGCCAAAGGAACCATCTCTGCTACAAGAGGGAGGGGCATTCGAAGGCCCCCTGTGCAAAATTACTGCTATTGCCGTAATGACTGGGAGAAAACAGGAGGATTTTCGCTCCACCGTAAGCCTCGAAGGGAAACCGAGTAGGTAAACTATTTTCCTTATGCTAAGCGAGATTTGTGAGTGACGTATTTTGCAAACTTGCACATAAAGTGCTCTTGGATGCTCCTCTCCCTACGCTGGTTGGCGCCGTAAAATATGTAATAATAACAAAGTAATGGATTTTGACTGCTTTGCGGCAGAAGTTTCACAAGCAGCTGCTAAGAATGCTTCACTTTGTATCAAAGCACATCCTATTGTCAGAGAGACTCCTCCCCCCTCTCTGGGACGACCAAACACCCCCCCCCCACCCCCACCTCGATCCTCAGCTATGGTACGCGTTTAGTTATTTGTAAGTTAGCGATTAGGAGTGCTCAGGGTTAAACAGAGTTTTGATGAATCTAATCAGGCGTTAAGCTTTGCCTGGTTTTTGTAATTACCGGCGAAGAAACCAGGGTTCGGTCTACGGTACGCTAATCTGTTTCTATGTGCTAGACTCTAGGAAACTGCAAGGTTTCTTGTTGCAATTCTTGATGTTCACAACACGAGTGGAGGAGGAGGAGAGGGGGGTGGAAGTGCGGGAACTCTAGAGACAAAATTCTATGAGCTTCAGCATCACTCGTTACCTAACCGGTGTTTTTTGGGGTTCACCTTATATTTCTATCGGTTTCAAGGGCTATTTCCTTTACTTTCTCACATTTCCTTCCCTTAACTGGCCATATTATCACTGATTATCCGCTTGACAAGGCGCCTATCCATAGGCGTATACCCCCGTTAGCTGTCGTACTTTCGTATAACTAGTATATGTAGTTGTCTAGTAGTCGTACATTTCACTTCAAATGTGAGCGAAGCGCTGTCGTAGTGTTTCCAACAGCAAACTCGCAGCCACACAAAACATAATTGCTCTACTCTCTTGAATTCTCATCGATTTCTGGAAAACTTGCCGTCCGATGTAAGTAGGAAGGAAGTGGTGCGAGCATTTGGTTCCAGTTAACGGAAGTCACCAAAAACTACTGGGTTCATATTTCGTACTTGTGAATATTCTG